GTAGATGAATTCCTGGTCTGTAGCCAGGTTCCCTCCCTGCAGAGGTCAGCAGGAACCCAGGCCCTTCATCTTCAGGATCGTCCTCCTTTGGGCAAGGCCTAGACTTGTCCTCTGATTTGCTTTCATGGCAGTGACCACAAGGAGTACACTGAGTCATTCAGGTTTCCGATCTCTCTGTTTTTTTGCTTATTTTGTCTTGTTTTACATTAGTAAGGATATTGGTTTTGGTGAAGGGCTGTGCTCTGTTGATGGCCCAGACTGTAAACCATTCATTACACACTTTCATTCATTACACACGTTTAGCACTGACTACAAGGTAAGCAAGATGCTAGGACACTGGAGGATACGAAGGGAATGACATATGAATTTGACCTACAATGGCCTATGTCTCATCAGGATAAATACAAATTTTGGTAGTTAGAAAGTAGAATCGGCACAAGAAATATTTAGATAAGATATTTAGATTATTCTGGGGATGAAGTGGATCAGCTAGGGTGCCTTCAGCTTCATGTCACATAATTTCTGGCCCAAAGTGGCTTCAACACAGGTGGTTATGATCTCACCAACAAGGATTCCAGAGTCGGGGTGATCCAGGGCTGATGAATGCATCCTGTCAGCAGGGGCAGCCTTGCAATCAGCTCCTCTGGGATTTTCTTTACCTCTTTCCTCAGGGTCTCACTTGAGCTGCTACCGCTGCTAACGTCACATACTAACCCTACCACGTCAAAGGCAGAGAGTGATGACTGATTCTTGCCATCTGCCTGTTTAGTTACAGAAAACTTTCCCAAACGCCACCCGCCTCCTATAGCAGGCACCCTCTAAGGCCCTCTTGGCCAGAACTGGGTCAAGTGCCCTCCTCACCCCCAACCAATCCTAGCAAAGTGGAAGGGAAGGACCATGTTCGAGTTCCTCCCAGCACAATTCATTCCCTGGGAATGGGCCTCCTTTCTCTGGGCCTATCTGCATCAGGAAACCAGAACAATTTACATTTTATTAGTATTACCTTTATTCAGTGCAGAAGAGAGAAATGACTGCAGGGGAAAACACCAACAATGTTTGCAACAGGAGGCAAGGAGTGGAGGATCAAAAGTCCAAGCAGAGAATGGACTGTAGTTGTGGATGTAGAAATCACTGAAAATGAGGACGGGGTGCAGTGGCGCCAGCAGCCAGCAGGGCTCAAGTCTTCAACAATGGCCACAGTGCTGGGGAAGGAGCAGAGCACTGCATAGCAGGAGTGATGGGTGCTGTCCAGAAAGGTCCTTCCGTGTTTTCAGATGGGCAGCCTACTCTCTCTGTTGCCCTGGACCCTTGGCCTCAGGACCCTTCCTCTTCTTGGAGTCTCGCCTCCCCTGTCCTCACCCCAGGCTGCCTGCAGCCCACCATGCTGCACTCATCTCCTTTTCCCAGAGCAGCATCCCGCGCCAGCTCTCAGATAGATGGAAAAGCTGCAGCAGCACAGAGAGCAGGAGCAGTCAAGATGCAGGAGCCTTTCTCCTCTCCAGACGACAGTGCGCCCCCGGCCAGCTAGTCCTCCTGGGCCTCCTGCCCACACCCAGCGCTCCACCTCCATGTTTGCGTCCGCCTTCGCGACCCTCTGCAGTCTGGTGAGTCCCCCACCCACACATTCGCCTCATGGACCCGCTCCACACCTATGAGCTCCCATTCTGCAGGAGAAGTCAGGTGCGGGGAATGGGAATACAACGGACCCTCATCCGGCCTGGGAGGGCCCCTCCAAGACCTCCAGCACCCCAACCAAGTTTGGCACAGGATGCTCCTGTCCCCAGACAGCCGGTCAACTGCGAGCCCTCCAACACAGCTCAGCAGAGAGCCGGCGAGTCCCCCAGACACCAAGCCGATGTCGAGTCCTGGACCCAGCTCTGCAAAGTGCAGCCCAGGTGTGCCTTGAGGGGTCCCCCAGACACCCAGCCAACTGCGAGCCCCCCGAGCCAGCACAGCATACGGTAGCCATGGGCCCTTGCTTTTCTCCCTTCAGGACCCCACCCAGTTGCACACCAAGCGTCAAGCCCAAGGTTTCCGTTGCCATTCCGAGTCATCATCTGCCTGTGGCCATCAGCACCTGTGCCAGGCCCAGGTGAGCTGGCTGGAAGACGCTGCTACCTGGTAGAAGAAAATACCTTATACCAGTCATTGTGCGCCACTGCACCGCACTCTGAGAATCTGAGCCCGAAAGTCGCAGACAGAAGAAGGGTCTCAGAAACTTCCCATTGCCTCCTGGCAACCATGGCCGTGGCCACGTCCTTGGCTCCCAGGAGGTGCCCCAGCTGCCAGAAAGGGAAGAGTCAATCCCAATGGCCCCTCCCACACCACAATTGGATCAATCTGTGAAACAGATGTAAGGCCAGGAAAGGGGGCAGGAAGAACAGCCTAAACTCAAAGAAGCAGAGTGTCTTGACCCAGACATGAGAAATCTGAGGCTCCCAGTCCAGGAAATCAGTCTCTACTGGAGAGCAGGCCAGGGGCTGTCTGTGAATGCGGAGATCGCTGCCTCTGTCGGAGGCGCACTTGGAAGCGCCAGTGATTCTTGGCCAAGTGCCAAGGCCTAGCCAGTGCTTTGAGCCATTCAGAGCACACTTCCCCTGTGCCCAGGTGCTGGTGGGTTCATGGCCTGAAGACCTCTGGTTTGGGACCAACGTCAGCCTGATGACCTGGTGGCGTATCACCTGGGAGCCTTTTTCTTCTGGGGAGTTCTCTTGTTCAGAAGGAGCAAAGGCTGCCATGCCTTAGAACAGAGAATAACTGGCATTTGGAAGAGCTGTCCATGGAAATCCAACTTACAGAGCAAGCGTAGCAGACTGAGGGAAAGCTGAAACTGATGAAAACAGCTCTTGACACCAGCAGGGAAATTAGTAAAAGTTATTTATTTTTATTAAAATATTTTATAAAATATTTTAAATATTTTAAACATAAATTAAAATATTTTAAAATATATGTTATAAAACTGTGTGAAGAAGAAAATCGAAAGCTGAAAATTCTGCTTGTCAACTTGGTGTCACAGGAAGGACACAATTTAAAGAACTTGCCAGAGTGACAGGCCTCTGTGGACACAGCACTAGATGAGGAGTTCCAGGGGAGACCCAGGCCCTGGGCACCCACAGAGAAGTCCTTGGCTGAGCTCCTCCAGGCTGATGACAGGTCCTCTCAATTGGAGGGGGAGATGGAGGCATTACAAGCACAGGCCGAGCAGTGGTGTCGGCGGCAGACTGAGTCCTGTGAGCTGGCACTTCTTTGGAGAAATGTAGGGGTTCCTGGAAGCTTTTGCCTTCCAGGCAACATGTGCACAGTACCAAGGGGTGATGTCCCTGCACACTCCCACCCCAGGAGAGCATAGAAGGGGACCTTAGGCGGAATGGGTCACCTCCTCGAGTGGGCTGGCATGAGCTTCATGTTGTATATAAGTTTTAAATGTGTTGGAATGCAAAAGAAGTGTCCCCGGGGTATTGTGATGTACGGCCCAGGGTCACAGTCACTGCACCACGTGAGTCTTTGCATTCTCCAGCTGGTTGGCTCTCAACAGAGCAAATGTCTAATTTGACCCCCACAACAGAGCCGTGAGGTGGGCATGGGTCGCCACAGCTCTAAGAAAGTGACAATGAGCTACAGAGCACTGATACTGAGCACGATCTGCTTGACCGGCCCATCAACACTTTTCATACATGTTGACTCCTCTAAAACTCAAAGCCAGCTTCTGAGGTGGGAGCCATTCTGATAGAATGGAAAGCAGAAGCAGTGTGTCCACACACAGGTATTTCTACACAGATCATTTCTGGCCTGAGACCTCACAGCCAGTGTGTGGCTAAACTTGAGTTTGGACCCCAACATCATGGCTCCTGACTGCTCAACTGCAGGTTCCTGAATGATTCAGGCCTTTGATGGGCAAATGTGAGGAGAAAGACCAGGGTGAAGAGAGGCCAGAGTCATGGGATGCATTTCCTGTCTCTGGGTGAGGTGGGATGAGATGAGGGCAGCAGAGGAGAGACTGGAGAGAGGGGCCTAGAATGGTGGCCTGTATGCTCAAAGCCACAGAAGCACTGCAGGATTAGGGGGAGAGACATGGGATTCCCTCTGGCTGTGCTATGTGCAGGGGTGGATGGTCAGAGAAAGGCAGAGCAGGAGACAGGTGGGAACAGGTGCATCTGAGAGACTGGAGAGTGTCCGTGGACATGGAGGGAAGTGGTCACATCTATTAGGCGGAGATGAAAACTGGTGATGAATTGGATGGTAAGGTGCAAGGAGGGAGGAGGATGCCAAAGTTCCAGGCTCTCCCCCTCCAGGGCAGTGGTCACTCTCAGCCCCACAAACTGCGAGCTGGAGCTTAGGTGATGTATGGATCCCAAGAAGCTGGGTCTGCCTGTGGCTCAGGCTGTGGTGGAGGTGGAGAGCCTGGAGCTATGGCCCAGGGATAGTGCTTGAGGCACACACACACATAGCAACCAGCATAAACCGAGGAAAGTCATAAAGAAAGCTGCGTCTAGGGGAGAAGGTGAACTTGAGGGGGACTTGGTTGGTTCTGAGCCGTTTTGAGGGCTGCTGGTTTCAGGAGCTAGGGTGGGAGGGTGGTGGAGTCCAGGTAACTGGGACGTGCAGGGTAAGTGGCTGAGAGCTGGTGTTAATGTGATAAATGTTGGTGTCAGACAGTGAGGACCTGGAGGAGGTTGGACTTGAGGAGCAATGCAATGAGGGTCTGAAGTAGAGGTGGACACTGTTTGTGACCTGGACCGCTGGGCCTGAGTCAATGTAGTTCTAATTCCCAAAACATTTGATCGTCAGTATCAATATTGGTATAAGTATTATTATATTTAGGCAGTTCTATTTGACTACCAAAACCAGTATTACACCATATAGCAGTAAATTTATGATAAAAAGTACTTTGATTACAAGTCAGAAAGTATGATGGAGGTATTTTGTAAACCTTCCCAACAAAATTTCCCTCATCATGGCTCCTTGCAATATACATATCCCAGAAAATAAATCCAAAAAGCCAAGGGAATATTAGGCTATGTTCAAGGAGTCATAAACACTGTGTCTAAGTCATCATCATAATATAAATCTACGGTGTGTTTGGGGCTATATTAGTTAGATGGGTAGGCAACCATGATATTTCATTAGGATGTGATAGAGGAGGAGAGGGGATAGACGAGTGAGTCCAATATTGTCCAAAGTACCAAGCATAACATAATGAAGGAAAAGTGAGAATACAGGCGTGGTCCTGAGTCTTGGGAGGAACTGTCTGCCTCAGATGTTAGCGGCTTCTCTTCCCAGTAAGTTTGACTTGGAGGTCTCCAGCATTTGTACGAGACCAGATGTCAGGTGGAGACTTCTTAAGCTATGAGATGTAGCTCCAACATTAACTGCCTTCTAGTTCTGCAGCAGTGTCAGTAGTTACAAATACTAGGTAAGGTCCTTTCCAATGGGGCTCAAGGGCTGTCTTCTTCTGATGTTCCTTCTATAATACCCAGTTACCAAGCTCTGGACTGTGACCAGCAGGATCCTCTAAACTGGAATCCATGAAAGCATCTTTAACCTGTTGATGATAGGCTTGAGTATAAGACATTAGAGACTTACAGTAACTGGTCATACTAGCATAAGACAACAAGGGATCAGCAGAAGATTGTAGACCAACAGACAATGATCTGCCAGTGACTATCCCATGTGGGGTCAGTTCATGTTTTCCAAAGAGGGCACTGCAAGCAGTTAGTGAGACCAAAGGCTGTACCTTAGGCCAGGGGATTCCAGTCTATAGGTATATAAGAAAACCTTAAAGACAACTAACAGGACTAGAATCCAACATCTACAAAGGTGCAACATAATTTTTCTCTCCACAATTACCCTCATGTTTACCAAAGATAATCAAAGTAAAACTAATTAGTTTATATTAAACTTGGCATGATTATTTATGATATAAATAAGTGAAAATAAGAATACTGGCAGAGTTTCTGATCCAGAGGGATCAAGTAGGGAGAAAAAAGTAAATGTTTCGTCTTTGTTCACAAAGGTATATCTTATCAAACTGTTGCTAGCCTAAAGGAAAATATTTCTTTAAATCTGAAAAAACAAAACATTTGAGCATTCTCCTTGCTTCATGTAGTCCCATGTAACTAATATTTGATCTTGATGTTTTGTTAGCAGTTTTATGAAGCCGTCAGTTTCTCCATTAGAGTAATTCTGTGGTTTCTTACCCAATTCAGTTTTATTATCTGAAAGCTCTACAGAAACCTATATTCTGGAGTAAGAGTCAGAGTTCTTTCCATGAATCTCTCTGAAGATGAAACATACTTGTAAAAGCGTCAGAGTAAAACAATAACTATCTGTAAATGATGAAAGACTTAAAATGGCATGGTTAAAGATCTGATTACAATGCAATTGACAAGAAAATTTAGTTATTTCTATAGCACACATTTTAAGATAATGACAAGAATTATACCAGGACATATCAGATTTTTGGAATTTTACATAACTTTTAGAACACTTATATTAATAATGTTACCCACACAACATAACCCCAGAAGGTTTATCATTTATTTGACAATGCTTCCCATGTGATTTAATAAACCTAGTTCGTTAAGGATCACCTTTATAGGAAGAGATAAAAAATTCTTTGAGAAGTCACAGGGTCCCACTGGAAATTCTCAAAATTACTTTTAGGTCAAAAGAAAGTCTTTATTTTGAATTTGAATTTGGGGAGTTTGTCAAAAATATCAAAAGGTTTTAGAACACTTGCTCAAATAGGATCATAGGTCACTGTGAAACAATGCTTAGTAACCATTTAACCATGGTGACAATTAAAGGTATTCAGGCAAATACAGAAATTTAAATAGTTTTAAGAAAAATCTTAGCTCTTGTGAGCTTGTAAATAACACAGGAAATTTATTTTTGATAAAGCATAAAATCCCTGCTTTTTGGTAGACTACTCAAAGGCAAAGAAAATCTTTCCATAATCTCTTTATCAGGAGCAGACTAGGGGTGACATCAGCATCATGGCAGAGTGAGCTCTTCCCTAAGACTCTGCCCCTAAGATACAATGAAAAGGACATTCATAAACCAACAGAGGACATTCACACAACACAAAATATGTCTGAGAGACCCACACAGCCATATATCTGAAGGTGGAGGTGCTGGACCCACCAAAGGAAGTAGAAGGTGGTAAGGGCATCCCCTCTCACTCCCCACTCCCCCAATGGGAGCGACCCAGGGTGTGGGACTGCATGGGGCTCTGAGAGGAGGGGGGGAGGGATGGTGCTCTGCAGGAACATCTTTGCTCTCCAAGTTACCACACAGCTTGTGGGAAATCCCCACACAGAGATGGGTAAGCTATTGCAGGGGTGTCTTCATGAAGCCAGCAGCCCAGGAGAGAAGATAGCAAGGGCAGAGCCAGAATGCCCCCAGGATCATGCAGGTGAAAGAAAGTACCCCTCCCCTCACCTGGTTCTCCAGCTCAGCCAGTCAGTGAGACCACCCATGCAAATGTTAGAAAAGCAGCAACTGTGAGGGAATGAGCCAAGATTGTGGTGACCTCACAATACACAGCTCTTGACCTCCACCAATGGTGGCAGGTGGAAGCTACAACCAGATACTATCACTATACAGAAGCACAAATCCACGCCATCAACCAGTATGAAGAAATATATTAACACCCCAGACCAGAAGGAAAAGGACAACCACCCAGAAATCAAGCCTGAAGGCACAGAAATCTATAATCTACATGATGGGGAATTCAAAATAGCTACCATTAAAAAACTCAACAAGTTACAAGAAAATACAGATAGTTCATGATATCAGGAATAAAGTTAATGAAAAGAGGGAATTCTTCACAAAACATATTGAATCCATAAAGAAAAAACAATCAGAAATGTTGGAGATGAAAAACACAATGTATGAGATAAAGAAAAATCTATACACCCTAAATAACAGAGCTGATATTATGGAGGAGAGAAGTAGCAGTCTAGAGGATAGAAATATAAAATGCTGGAGATGGAGGAGGAAAGAGAACTAAGACTAAAAGAAGAAATTCTCTGAGAAATTTCCAACTCAATTAGGAAATGCAACATAAGGATTAGAAGTATTCAAGAGGGAGAAGAGACAGAGAATGGAGCAGAGAGCTTGTTCAAAGAAATAATAGCTGAGAACTTCCCAAACCTGGGGAAAGAGCTGGAAATAAAAGTGAAAGAAACTAATAGAACTCCTAATTAAATCAATGTAAAAACATATTCTCCAAGGCATATAGTAATAAAGCTGGCAAAAGTCAATGACAAATAAAAAATATTAAGGGCAGCAAGGCAGAAGAAGACAACCTACAAAGGAACCCCAATCAGGTTTTCAGCACATTTCTCAGCATGAACCTTACAGGCTAGGAGATAGTGTAATGATATATTCAAAATTCTAAAAGAAAAAATTCTCAGCCCAGAATACGCTATCCAGCAAAAATATCCATCAGCTGTGATGGAGAAATAAAAACTTTCTCGGATAAACAAAAGCTGAGGATATTCATCACCATAAGTCACCCCCTACATGAAATGTTCAAGAAGGCCCTCGTACCTGAAAAAAAGGAAAGGATTACAAAGCCTTGAGTAAAGAGATAAATACATAAACAAAATCAGAAAATCACAGCTCCCTATCAGAACAGGTTACCAAACACATATAACATTTAAGATAAAAGGAAAGAAAACACCAAAATTAAATAGAATCTCATTATTTTAACCATAAACTTGCAACACAAGATAAAATAACTTGTTACAACAGTAACCTAGAAGGGAAAGAGGTGAGGGATGGAATAGGATTATTCTGAGAAAATAAGAGGCTACCAGAAAAAGGAGTAGCTCATCTATGAGATTTTCTTTAGAGAAATCTCCTGGTAACCACTAAAGCAAATAATCAGGACAGAGACACAAATTATAAATAAGGAGAAAAACCACCATAGAGAACTACCAAACTGAGTTGATAGTCTGAATACATGGGACAAGAAACAAGGGAAGTGCAGAAGAACTGGAAAACAAGTGATAAAATGGCAGCATTAAGCCCTCATATATCAGTAATCACTCTAGATGTAAATGGATTGAATTCTCCAGTCAAAAGACACAGAGTGGCAGGATGGATTAAAAAACAAGACCCAACAATATGCTGCCTCCAGGAAACAAATCTCAGCTCTAAAGACAAATATAGGCTCAGAGTGAAGGGATGGAAGATGATACTTCAAGCAAATGGCAAACAAAAGAAAGCAGTGTTGTCACACTTATATCAGACAAAAGAGACTTCCAAATAAAAAATACAATGAAAGACAAAGAGGGGAAGTATATAATGATAAAAGGGACACTCCACCAAGAAGATGTAACACTTATAAACATATATGCACAGAACACAGGAGCACCAAAGTACATAAAGCAACTATTAACAAACCTAAAAGGAGATATTACCAACAACACAATAATAGCAGGAGACCTTAATGCCTCACTTACATCAATGGATAGATCATCCAGATAGAAAGTCAACAAGGAAATGGTGGATTTAAATGAAAATCTAGGCAAAATGGACTTAATAGATGTATAGAGAATACTCTATCCAAAAACAGCAGAATACAGCTTCTTCTCAAGTGCACATGGAACATTCTCAAGGATAGACTATATGGTGGGGAAAAATTTAAGAAGATTGAAATAATCTCAAGCATCTTTTCTGACCATAATAGTATGAAAGTAGAAATCAACTACAAGAAAAAAGCTGGAAAAATGACACATATGAGGAGACTAAACAACATGCTACTGAACAATCGATGGATCATTGAAGAAGTTAAAGAAGAAATAAGAAAAATGTCTGGAGACAAATGAAAATGGAAATACACCATACTATTGCATTTGGGATGCAGCAAAAGTGGTCCTAGGAGGGAAATTCATAGCAATACATGCCCACCTTAACAAACAAGAAAAATCTCAACTAAGCAATCTTAAACTACACCTAACAAAACTAGAAAAAGAATAACAAAGCCCAGAGTCAGCAGAAGGAGGGAAATAATAAAAAATTAGAGCATAAATAAATGAAATTGAAACAGACAAACAAACAAACAAAAAACAGTAGAAAGTATCAATGAAACTAAGAGCTGGTTCCTTGAGAAGACAAATAAAACTGACAAACCCTTAGCCAGATTCACTAAGAAAAAAAAGAGAGATGGCTCAAATAAATAAAATTAGAAGTGAAAGAGGAGAAATTACAATGGATACTGCAGAAATACAAACGATTACAAGAGAACACTATGAAAAACAACATGCCCGCAAATTCGGTAACCTAGAAGAAATGCATAAATTCTTAGACTCACACAACCTCTCAAAACTGAATCAAGATGAAATAGAGAATGTGAATAGACCAATAACAAGTAATGAGATTGAAACAGTAATCAAAAACTTCCCAAAAAATAAAGTCCAGGACCAGATGGCTTCTCTGGAGAATTCTACCAAACATTCAAAGGAGACTTAATACCTGTCCTTCTCAAACTCTTCCAAAAAATTGAAGAAGACAGAACACTTCCTAACATGCTCTATGAGGCCAACATCACCGTCATCCAAAAGCCAGACAAGGACAACACAAAGAAGGGAAATTACAGGCCAATATCTCTGATAAACATAGACATAAAAATCTTCAACAAAATATTGGCAAACTGAATACAGCAATGCATCACAAAGATCATACACCATGATCAAGTGGGATCTATACCAGTCATGCAGGGATGGTTCAATACATACAAATCAATCAATGTGATACACTACATTAATAAAATGAGGAATACAAACCACGTGATCCTCTCAATAGATGCAGATAAAGCATTTGACAAGATCCAACACAGATTTATGATAAAAACTCCCAATAAAATGCGTCTAGAAGGAAAGCACGTCAACATAACAAAGGCCATATGTGACAAACCCACAGTCAACATTATACTCAATGGGGAAAAACTGAAAGCTATCCCTCTGAGAACAGGAAAAAGACAAGGGTGCCTACTCTTGCCACTCTTATTCAACATTGTACTGCGGGGTTTGGCCCATGGAATTAGACAAGAAAAAGAAATAAAAGGCATCCAAATAGGCAATGAAGAAACGAAATTCTTACTGGTTGCAGATGACATGATTTTAAATATAGAAAATCCTAGAGAACCCATCAGAAAGCTATTAGAAATAATCAACAACTAAAGTAAAGTTGTAGGGTACAAAATCAATTTACAAAAAGCAGTTGCATTTCTATACACTAATAGAGAACTAGCAGAAAGAGAGGTCAAGAATGCAATTCCATTTATAATTGCAACAAGAAGAATAAAATATCTAGAAATAAATTTAACCAAAGAGGTGAAAGACCTATACAATGAAAACTATTAGACATTATTGAAAGAAGTGAATGATGACATAAAGAAATGGAAAGATATTCCACGCACATGGATTGGAAAAATAAATATAGTTAAAATGTTCATACTACCTAAAGCAATCTACAGATTCAATGCAATCCCAATCAGAATCCCAATGATATTCTTCACAGAACTAGAACAAAGAATCCTAAAATTCCCATGTGGCAAGCAAAGACCCCAAATAGCTAAAGCAATCCTGAGAAAAAAGAACAAAGCTGGAGGCATCACAATCCCTGACTTCAACATATACTGCAAAGGAATAGTAATCAAAGCAGCATGGTACTGGAACAAAAACAGACACACAGATCAATGGAACAGAATTAAAGACCAGAAATAAAACCACACATCTATGGACAGCTAATCTTTGACAAAGAGGCCAAGAACATACAATGGAGGAAGGAAAGTCTCTTCATTAAATGGTGTTGGGAAAGCTGGACAGCCACGTGCAAAAGAATGAAAGTAGATCATTATCTTTTCCATACACAAAAATTAACTCAAAATGGGACAAAGACTTGAAGGTAAGACCTGAAACCATAAAACTCCTAGAAGAAAATATAGGCAGTACACTCTTTGACATCAGTCTTAGCAGCATCTTTTCGAATACCATGTCTACTCAGACAAGGGAAACAAAAGAAAAAATAAACAAATGGGATTTGTATCAGACTGAAGAGCTTCTGCCAGGCAAGGGAAACCAGGAACAAAATGAAAAAACAACCCACCAAATAGGAGAAAATATTTGCAAATCATATATCTGACAAGGGGTTAATCTCCAAAATATAACTCACACAATTCAACAACAGAAAAACAAAAACCTGATCAAAAAATGGGCAGAAGATATGAACAGACATTTTTCCAAAGAAGATATAGAGATGGCAAATAGGCACATGAAAAGATGTTCAACATCACTAATCCATCAGGGAAATGAAAATCAAAACTAAAATGAGATATTACTTTACACCTGTTAAAATGGCTGTTATCACCAAGGTAAAAGATAATCAATGTTGGAGAGGATGTGGAGAAAAGGGAATCCTCATGCACTGCTGATGGGAGTGCAAACTGGTGCAGCCACTATGGAAAACAGTATGGAGACGTCTCAAAAAATTAGACATACCATATGACCCAGCTATCCCACTACTGAGTATTTATCCAAAGAACTTGAAATCAACAATACAAAGAGACTTATGCACCCCTATGTTCATTGCAGCGTTATTCA